AAAAATGAGTTCAATAAATCGAAATTTTTAAAACTGAACTAAAAAAATAAAAACCGAAACCGAAATTGAAATTTTTGGTTAAAACCGAATTTTAATAATATATACTCTATTATATATTATAATATATACTCTATTATTATATTGCATATAGTAATAAAAAGTTTGGTTATTTCGATTAACCAAAATTCTAATTCTAAAATCCAAAACCAAAAACCGAATTAACAAAAATCTGAATTAATCGAACTGACTTAATAAAAAAAAACCGAAACCGAAATTTTTGATTTGATTTTTCGGTTTTAACCGAATAGTGCTCACCCCTAGTATGAGGTGAATTTTTTGCTAGAGAACTATAACTAAATCTAAAATACTAAGAGAAATAAAATAAATGAAAACAATTATATTAAATGCTAAGTTGAAGTGAAGCTATTGTGCTAACTGCTAATTACTTATGTGATGCAAGTATGTATCCTAACTCTACATGCACTACGCAAAGAGATGGATACAGGTGCAAACAAATTAAATCGAATGATTTTTGAAAGAAAACACTAAGAGAAATAATGCAAGTTGAGAACCACATATACAACCTATTAACAAAAACCTTTAATGCAAGATGTAGTGTAAATATGATGCAAATAATGAAATCTATACCATACGAATGACCTATTACTCATTAGTCATTACTATGAATCTTATTTAATGGATTCATTTTATTGATTTGATTTGATGTGTGACCATATCACTTTGCTTAAAATTAATTTGTTGCTAATTTGCTTGTAGTCTGTTTTTGTGTGTATAGTGATAATTCTTAATTAAGGCCCCGTTTAGTGTATCTTTCTGCGTGGGCTATTGGCTGTTTAAAAGTTTAGTAGCTTATATTTTGGTCTTTTCCTGTTTGGTTGAGGATAGATCTAGCCGTTAAAAGATGTTGCCTTGAAAAGATGCCTGAAGTTCGTTTTGGGTTATTGAAAGTTTTCAATGGAGATTTTTGACATTTTTAGCACGTCTTCATGCGGAAAGACGTGCAAGAAGACACTCCTTAATTATACGATTTTCAAGCTACTAAGATCTTAATGCAAAAACTCACATCGTCTTTTGATTGTTAGGTCTGCAAGAAGATCTTTCAAAAAAAAAATTTCAAACGACACTTAAGAAATTGTTATAAAATGTAATTATCAATATGTTATAGTAAATATGGGGGAGGGAGCGAAATGGAGGTCCTTGTGATGAAAAAGAGAAGAACTGTGAGACTTGCTATTGTCCTTTGTAATATAAGGTAGGGAATAGGGGCCAACCATATTCATGTGTTTCAATGTTCTAATATTGATATTATGTTCTTTTTAAGTAGTAGATATTATGTTTCTGACTCTCCTCTTACTCGAACTTACAAGAAAGAGATTGGCTTTTCATGTGTTTCAATGTTCTACCATTACAAGTTGGAATTTTGAAGGACCAATGCGCTTCTTTTTTGGAAGAATAGAGACAAATAGATTAGTGGCCTGCTTAATTTGAAACAAGTTAGTTATAACTTTGAATAAATATTAAAAATATTACAAACAATTTTAATATGTATTTATAAATTATTTAATTTAGATAAAAAATATCACAAACATGAAACAAAATACAAATACGAAGATACACATATACACATACATATTTTATAAGCATCTTGTATTTTGTAGTTATATATACATAAAAATAAAAAATAAAAAATGTATATAGAGAGAGAGAGCTTGAGGCTTACACCTCACCTTCACCTTTGGTCTTTTAAAACCCTGTTTCAATCACTCATATGGATTTGGGAGGGATTTATGCTCGAATTTGGTTCAAGACGGGGTCCTTATGTCACTGAAAACTAGGGTGCAACTTGGGTGGGTTGGGTTGGGTTTAAGGTCAGCCCAAGGCCAACCCTAAAGGTGCAAACATTGGGCTTGGGCCTGACCTATCCCAAGTTAATTAACCCAGGCCCAACCCAAGCTTAACCCAATACAAATTGGGTTGGGCTTGGGCTAGGCCAGGCTAGGTTAGTTAGGCTTGGGAAAGGTTCGTCATGTTTGAAAGAATTTATGTATATGCTTTTACAGAGTCAATTTTTATTGGGATTTATTGCCCAATTTAAGAGTAGAACTGATTGAAAATATGTACAAATTTCATTTACAAGCATACATATATATACATATATACATGTACATACTTTATACATATACACACATATACATAATTAGAAAAAAATATATTTTTATATAAATATAATAAACATATGCTTATATTTTTTTGGGTGGGCTTGAGTTGGGTCGAGCTTAGGATTGGTTGGATTGAGCTGGGGCTATCCAAGGCCTTAGCCCAAGACAAACCCAACTTTAGATTAGGCCCAAGCCCAAGCCATGCAAAAACTCTGGTTGGAGTTGGACCTGCCCAAGTTGCACTCCTACTGAAAACTCAAATTGGGGGAGGAGTTCTCCTAAATTGGAAAATAACACATAGTTGGCCTTCTTTAGGTCACCTTTACAAATATTACTTAACTGAGAACAAATCACTAGTTTTGTGAAGGCTAGCTATGTACTAATTTGATTAAAGAGAGTGGATTTGTTGGCCTTCTTGAGGCCAACTTCACAAAATTTCCCAAAAAGAGGCCAACCTTTTTTAGATAGCTCTAGTGACTCTTGACAGAAGAGGGCTTCCCCAAGGAGTTAGACAAGTTGGGACTCATTCATAGTTAGCCTTCTTTAGGCCGGCCAAGGAGAATCCTTCAAAATCAAGAGTTTCATCCCTTTTTCTGCAAGGGAATCCCAGTTTAACCTCCAAATGTAATCTCTCCTATGCGAGAATTGGGCTTCTAGAATCTCAAACTAGAGTGGGTTCCAATGTGACATCTCCTTAGCCTTTGTAAACACAAAATTCCGGTATAGGCTCTATAACCAATTCATCATTGTAGTCCCTTGACCACGATGATCTTGTCCATTGGTCTCAACTTGGTTAGGTCTTTTCAACTATCAACGACGTTCAAAGTACCAAAAGTGGAGAGGTTTACCGATCAATGGTTCAACCATAGTCGAATCGAAGGTCAAATCGTGATGACATAAATACTATATATTATATATTTTACGAATAATATCTCACTTGAATGTGGTGGATACATGTCTAGTTCCTTAATTTTGAAATAGATGATTATAGTTTAAGCCTTTGAACTCACATTTTCTTTAAAACACATGTGTATTAAATTAATGTATACATAAATAGAAAATGTATTAATGGTAACAAGACAATACATGTAAATAAAAGGCTATAGGTTCAAGTGTTTTTATTACTTATTAGCATTTTAAAATTTTCATTCATTTAGTGAATTCTTAAGTTATAGACTTTGGCAATCTTGGAGGTTTTGATTGGAGGGTTACTAATTTGATCATACGTGATCAACAATCCTAATCAGGGCAACCTCCTAGGTACAAGTCTAAAATGAATATTCCTATGCTTTATAGGGATTCAATCTCTCAATCTTGTCTTAAATTGGTTTGGGATAGAAAGATTTTGGTTAGAGGTTTGTGATTGATTCAACTAATCAATTTTCAATCAATTTATTAATTCAGCTACAATTTAGGTGTTAGGGGTGCCAAAAGGCTCAATGTTTTAGGCCAAATACATTATAATGGTCTAATTTAATTAATTTTCAACTTTTATCTCAAAATATGATTAAAATACCCTTTCTTGAAGAAACAACAGGGACATTTTGCTAAAGAATGTTTGAAGAAAAATAAGATAGAAGTGTACAAAAATGCGGTGTCTATGCCACGTAACAGATATTTATCTATGTCTATTCTATTATTAAAAGTACAAATAAGCATGTGAAAGTTTTATTCTTTATCAATACTCTTTTTTTAATCTGGCCCCCTCCAATTGGAAGGGCCAAATATGTAATTTAAACTATATATTCCACCATGAAATTCCTCTCATTAAGTATTATATTCAAATTATGTATTAACTCCCATGTTCTCATTAAATTCTATTAGATGGATATATATCCAATCTATACTACTTATATGAAGTGTAACTTTTTGGAATTTTTATTAGATAAAATTTGCCACCTCTTCCTCTCATTATTGTCCATTCAACAAAACAAGAAAAAAAAAAGTATCGCTTCACCTCCACATACACCAAAATATTAAAAGTGAATTAAAACAAGGTGGGTCAAGGCTGAAACGTGTCGGGGCCAGATTTAATATCAAGTTAAGATTAGGCCCATCCTTCTGCAAGAAGTGTGCCCATGTGACTCGTGGTGGATTAGTGGTTCTAGCACTGGTGCAACCTTGGTGTGCGTTGATGAGCATTTCTTGCATTTTGAATGGACCCAGCCTGATACCCTATGCATTTGAAAATCTTCAAATTTTTAAATCAAATAATGTCTAACTTTACACTCTCTCTCTTCTTCCTGATTAATGAAAAGAAAATTAGGGTATGTTGTAGGAATAGGGGTCCGGAATTGGAATCGGAATGGTCGGGATGTTTGGTTGGGTGGAATCGGAATCCGATTCCCATTTCGAGCGGAATGGCATTCCCCCTTTTGAGGGAATGGCCATTCCTGCTATTTAATATAAGAAAAAACCAAAATGACAAAAAACCCCTCAAATCTCTATCTACTCGAACCCAACTTTCTAACCTCTCACTCATCCTTTCATCACTCCCTCCTCCGGCAGAGGTTCGAAGTACTGTTTTGAATCGAAACTCCGGCGACAGTGACAATGAGGTAAATCACCGTTAATTTTTCTCCCCTCTTTCCTATTCTTTTTCTTCCTCTTCCTCTCCTTCTCTCTCTCACTTTATTTTTTCATTCCTCTCTAGTTTTTCCACTGCAGCCCAGGCCAGACCAAACCACAACAAGGTATGCTTTCCTCGATTTTTCTTTGTATGAAATGCATGTTAAATTTAGCATATCTTCTTTCAAATATTTAAATGTGCTTTAATTTTTTTCCCAATTTCAGTTTGGAACGCATCCTTATGTGAGTATAGTTATTTGGTTGTTAGTTTTGCATGGTGTTTGAATTTTTCAATGTTTATTTTGTTGTTTGCCGATTTAGCTCTATCTTTTTAGCTAATAAGTCTGAAATATCTCTATCAAGTTGATTAGAGTACAATAACATTCTAATCTAACTTCAAATTAGATAGAAGTCTGATTAAACATGAATAGTGACAATAGAAAGCAAGAGTTTGAAATCAACAAATCAGAAACAATAGCAAGAGTTTTATAAACAAAATCTCATGTACTAGAGTCCAGTAATGAGCTTTCTTTAGAGAAAATATCAAAGAAAAAAAAAAAACAAAGAAAAAGAAATTAAGACCTTTTAGACTATGCTCATGCTGTGCATTGCCAATGGCAAGCAAGCACAGATCGGAGGGGATCATGTCAAATTGGGTGTTGGTTGAAAAAATTCTGCCAAATCATATAAGTGCTGATTTGGAGTTTGAAATCCAAGCAAAGTCAGTAGTCTTATGTTGCCAACCCTAAAGAGTTGTTAGAAGGTACTAGTCAGAATGACAAGAAAGATGACCAGCAATCATCTAAGAGAAATATAAAAAAGAACAAGAAAAAAGAAAAGAAAAAAATCCATTACCACCCACTTGCACCTCCACTCTTTAGATCAGCACACACCCACAACCAATTATAGCAACCATTTGAAAGCAAAACCCAAACTTCACTCCAAATCCCAGCGTTATAACATTCTTTCAAAATTTGTTAGTAGTTATTACATCCATCAACAAGGTTGAAATTGATACAACCAATAAAATAGTTGATTCTTACCAGAAACCAACAGCTCGAGAATTGGGTCAAATTACAGATAGTGAGTATCTGAGTGATATGTTTCTTTGCATGCATTAAAGCCCAAATAAGCCTTTAGTTCAGATCACAAAAGTTAATTGGGCCTTCAACCAACAAAGGTGATCTATTTCTTTTGTGCCTCTCCAATATTTTCTAAGGATGGTAGGATCCTTATAACTAGTGTTTATAGATTCAGGTGTTGAACGTTGAATATGCGAAGAGCATTTGTGCCATCAAAGATCTAGACATACCCATGATTTCCCATTATTGTGGTCATGCTGCTTTGATGTGATGGATCACCTTATTTTCTATAAATTTTCATTTGAGGGCCTGTGTTTTCAATCTACAGTGTGGTGGGTTGACTACTTGGATGAAAGATTTTCCATGTTTTCAGACATTTCTGCCAAGGCTTATATTACTTTCTTGGCATTGGGATTTCTCTCAACTTTATCTGAAGTGGCAAAAATAGAGGGGCAAGACAAAAGGTAGAAATTCAAATTTTGTATCAGGTAGGAAGGGATGCAAATTTTAAAGTTGTCATGACAATCATGATTAGGCATCACAAACCACAAATTTTTGGAACAATTGCTCTTGAGCCTTGGTTTTTTCTGACCAATCCTAACTAACCAACTCCAGTTCCAAGGCTTCAACCTAAATTAAAACCAAATCAAATCAACTTGTAGTGGTTATAGTGATTTTACCTGAAACTTGAGTTTACTTGGCTTAGCAGGGCTTATCTAGATTGCTTCTTCCCTCTACCAAAATTCTCATATATGCACATGTCTAAAGACAATAAATCAACATTATTTAAGATTTTTTTATAAATCAACATAGTTGATATAAGAGACACTCAAAAAACATTATATCAAAATGAGTGACTGCAGTTTTCAGGATATAGCATTTCTAATAGAAAACCAAATTAGGCTCTTCCTCTCTTGAGAGGCTCCTCAGTGCTTGGTTCAAATTCCAGTCTTTTACATTTTCTCCACTTCCACCTGTATGGTTTTGCTTTCCACCAATGGGTCCTCTAATTAAAAGAACCTCACAAATTGACAGGTGTCAGTGGAAACATACTTAAATTTTGATTCAATTTTTGTATAAATGTTTGTGCCATATTTCTTATCAGGTTTCTTCATATTATTGGTGCAACTGAATTAATAAAAAATGCTACTACAATTAAAGATGAGATGTTGTAGCTAGAGGAAGCCAGAAGGTTTCACATTTCCTTGTATTCACAGGTAAGAACTTGTACCTTGTTTGCCAATTGAAACCTAGCCTCTTTTTTATTCATTAGAAAGTAAGTGCATTTACCATTACAGGGTAATCAAGTATCACCTAGAGTGCATTTACCATTTACCAGTGTTTTCATGTAGTTCACATTATTGGCATTCAGTGAAAGTTAATATCTTTTGACTTTAAATGGACATGCTGCTAATATGTAGGTCTATATCATTTATTGGACTCTGATGTCTCTCATTTTATTATTCTCTTGTTCAAAATAGTTCTTCTGACTGATTACATATCACTCGGATCCTATAACTTTCCTACTAGTTCTGTCCTATATTGTAGCTTCCAGCGGAAAGGATTTTTCAGTTCTAGTCTCCAAGACCAAGGGCACAACAATAACAGAAACAATGGACTACACTGACCTTCCGCACTCTCAGATGAGAAAAGTAATCGCCTCAGCTTATTTATTGCATATGTTAATAGGAATACAGAGACCTAACATGGTGAAATGGAAACTCTATCATCTCTTTTACCCTGTTTTTTACAGGTCACAGATTCATGCTTGCTACTTTCAAAACAAACTATTCCTCATTACTAATTGACAGTGGACACATGTGTTGACAAACTTATGGAGTAAGTTGTTATCTTCCACTTCTTGAAATATAAAATAATTATAATCTGAATGTTTCTGATAAGAAAAAGAAATTGGTCTGAATTGCTTGTGATGGTAATCTTCACGTACAACTTATGGAGGGATCACTACAATTTTTTGGACCTATACAAGCAGAGCTGGCCTCTATAATTCAAGGCATGAAACTAAGCTTTGCTTTTTTATTGGAAAATGTACAAGTTGTGAGGATGAACTTGGTTGCATAGGGCACGCCATTAGAGAAGTAGGGTACCAGGTGTACGGAATAAACTGCTTGTTCATCTGGTTTTCAAGGTCTGCCAATGCCTTAATGCCCTTAACAGAAATATAGAAATCCTAGTTATTGAATAGGGAGCCGCCATATATCTTTGGGGGAACCATCGAGTTTGGCTGACTGTTCTCTTTGATCTATTGCTGATATCAATAGGCCTTCATCCAAATGTTGACATGGATTATGGGTAAGATTTAATGAAGGTTGACTTGGAAGAGTCAGTGTGACTTGTGTAGGAGTCAAAGGAATCGTTGGAATCAAACACATGATTGATTTAGGTACAAAAGGATCATTGGCCCACAATGACTCGGTTCCGTATGCTTTAGACTGGAATCAACTAGGGAGGGAGCTGCACATAACACAGACAAATAAGATTGGTATATTCCAACTTTTTTCTAACATACAACTTCATTTACCTGGTTATGCAGGTTCATCCAAGTGTGTGCAAGGGAGCTTATGTGTCCAGCTTATCATGAACTATGTAACAACCATATCAGCACCATATCTTGAATTATATAAGTTCAGTCCTTATTTCTTCTTTTTTTTTTGAAATTTCTGCAAAATATTTGAACCATTAATCCAATAATTATATAGTAGATTAAMAGCATGAAACATCAATTTTTCCTTTTTAAGTTGAGATGGGGTTTGAAACTATCTAACTCTAAAACTTTTCTAGTCAACTAATACATGTCTTATATCTCATAGGGACCATTAAAATGGAAGCAATTAATCCCTGCAATTGGCTCCTATACCAATATGTCTCATATCCAAGCAACAGTTATTTGTTCTAGAAAAGCAGGCCTGCAACTTAGTGTCCGAAGTGGTGGCCACGACTACGAGGGACTTTCATATGCATCTAATGTTCCATTCATCATTGTTGACCTGCTAAATTTTTTATCTATTAACGTTGATATAGAAGATAACAGTGCATGGATTCAAGTTGGATCAATTCTTGGGGATGTTTATTATAGAGTTGCAGAGATTTTTGTTTGTTTATGTATTTTTCTTTTCATTTTTTATGGTGGAGAATGATTTTTTTATTGTGATTTTTGTTTGTTTATATGTTTTTTTTTCCATTTTTTTCATATTTTCACCATATATGCACTTGTTAGCAGGTTGCCAATGTGTGTATATGTTGAAAATATGTAATGAGCGGCTGTTTTTGAGGTTTTTTTAACAAGGGCAGAATTGGAAATTTTAGCTGATTCCGATTCCAGCTTATAGTTGAACCAAGCAGTAACAATCAGAATCTGATTTTGATTCCTGACTGAACCAAACAGGTTCCAGGAATAGGTTATTCCGATTCCGGTCCTGTACATGAACCAAACACACCCTTAGATATTTAGATCAAGATGGGTTGACAAGAAAAACAACTTAATTATTCTTTTATTTGATACTTTTAGGATTCATATTTGTCCCCTTTGAGATAGTGGTTACAACTAGGGGCGGAGCTAAGTTATCCCCCCCCCCCCCCAAAAAAAAAAAAAAAAGACTTTTCCCCACCCTATACTTTTAACTCAAAGCATTTTAGAGAAAATGTTATTGGGTGGGAGAGTCACTTTAATATCATGACCCAATCTGATTTCTTGAAATCCTAATTCTAACTTTAACAAAATCCATTATTTTTTTTTCCTATGTCAATCCAATTTTGACTTGAATTAGAATGACTTATTTACTTACATATTGTAGGGTCGGATTGAACAATGTCTCAATCTTAATCCAACCCAAAATTTAATAGGGTTCATATTTTTTAACTTTAACCTTAATAGAAACTTTAAGCCGAACTTTTTGGTTGGATTTTAGTTGTAGAATACATCTCATAGGTGCACTTTAGAATTTACCTAGTCTCCACTCTCCATTCTTCCTCATCTCTCATTCTCTTGCCCCCCCCCGGTTGTTGCCTTCCACCACCAAATACTACCACTCCCATTGCCTTGCACTATAGTAGTCTGTATGATTTATGGACAATCTTACTGAAATTAATTATTTTGCTCAATGCTCAATATTAGTTCCTCGAGTTACTTCAGGATTTGTGCTTTTAAGCAAAAAACCCCAATTTAGGATTTATCTTTTAGGTTTAGAAGTTTTTTTAGCCTTAAAATCTAGCGGTTTCAATTAAAAGCAATTATTGTTAAAAACTAAAAGCATAGTTCAAAGTATCCATACACCCTTGTGTATCAACAGAGGTGTATCCGTACATGGCCATATCTATTTATTTATGCTTGTGCAATTTATTATAATTTTATTTTACAACTTAATTTTTTATTAAACAAATATCACAACCTCAACGTCCTTGAGTGAACTACTACATTTATCCTCATTAAGTCTTTTATTTAGGGCATTTACTTCATTCTTTCATTGAACCTATATTAATTAATCATATTAAAGAAAAATAAGTGTAACAATGAATAATTGTTTTTATTAATGATAGAAATAAAATCCAAATTTAAAGTCAATAAAAAAATGGAATTGTTTTCTTGTTTGGTGGCAGGTCAACAATTCAATCTTTTGGGTTAATTGTGTTAACCATTGATGTCATAATTAAATAACAATGAGAGATGAAAAGATGAAAACACACAAAAGTATAAAAAATTCAAAAAAAAAAAATAGAAAACATTTTGAGCACAACTCTAATATAGTATATATTTGTCATATTAAATAAAAGTAAGTATGACAAATAGGAAAAAATGTTAAATTGGAATAAATTCTTCATAGTTGAAAAGTTCAGTTCAACATATCCCTTTGTTGTAATTTGTGTTAACTGCAGAGTTCTATTAAAGACAGATCCTCCAATGGCTCACTTCAATATGTCCCAAGACCAAGGAACCTTGTTGCACATTCCATTGCTCAATTTGCTGACTGTTGTTGAGTGTATAGAATTGTCTCTTGGTCATGGTTTTCGATGTTTCCAATATAAAGCCAATGTTTTTTAAAACCAACTAAAAAACAAATCTATTATTCCATTTAGGTGGCATGTAAGCAATTCATCCAAATGTGGCAACCCTTAATATCACAATTAAACAATAAAAATGTATACAAAACATGAAAAATATATAAATAATTGGGTATATCTATAATATTATATATTCATCATATCAAACAAGAATAAAAAAATATAGAAACTTTGGGCACACTCCATTTTTTTATATTAGAGAAAGATAAGTGTATAAGCAACAATTGTCATTATCAATGATAAGAATGAATTACAAAACTTAAACTTACCCAAAAAACAAATTATTTTCTTATTTAGTGGCAGGTCAACATTTTAACCTTAGGAATTAAATATTAAAATATTAAAAAATATAGAAAATTTTGGACACATCATCATCTAAAGTTGGCACATGCAAAGTATGTTCGCATTTGCTAGTTTAGTAAAAAGTGTGTTCATAGAGCGTGTTTTTAATGTTAATAGGTGGTTGGGTATCAAAAACTAACGGTGATCATTGTTAGCCGGTTAGCCCAACACTTGAAAAACCCAGCCTGACCCACTCGAGCCTAATACTTCAAGCTCAGCCATATCCACACCTATTTAAATATGTGTATTTTATACATATTTCTATATATATGTATGTATAAATATATTATTTTATTTTATGTTGTATATTTTATATATAAATATTATAATATGAGACCTATAATAAATATTATGCAAATTATATGCATATAACATAAATTGTTAAAATATTATGTGTGTGTATGATATTTTATATGTAGATATAGGCTTGGAATCAGGCATGGACCCATATAGGCATGTAGGAAAGCTTATGGTTCAGGCCAAGAAACCCAAGCCAAGCAAGGGCCCTAGCCCAGGCTATAGATGTTATTATTAGTGCAAAGCTCGACCTGATCCATGATCACCCCTAATCATAACATGTTCATGCGTTGACATGGAACCACACACTTACACGTGTTAATTGTTCGATAATGCATTTTAAAATGTTTATAAAAGGCCATGTGGCTGCATGCCTACATCAAATATGCCATGTGACACATACATGTGATGTCATTTTTTGTACTCTCAAAATCAAAATGTCAAATTGCATGCAATCATGCCATGTTGTAAGCACATGTGAAGCGACACCATTTTGTATTTCAAATTGATGACATGTGACTAGAGGTGTAAATTGGGTCATGTCAGGTTGTCCTTGCCTCCTCTGGGATACTTCAAAGGTCAGGCCCGACATGGCCCATGGCACAAGCCCAAGCAGGCCTAGGTCAGGTAGTCTATGGGTTGGGCCAGGTCAGGCCAGTCTTTTTTGTTGTTTTTTGACATTTCTATTATTTTTTTTTATTTTTTTGTTAAATGATACAAACTCTGGGAAAAATAAAAATTTAACAAAAAATACTTAACATAATACAAAATAGACAACAAATAAAAAAGATTTGAAAATTTATTTCATTTGAATTTGAACAATATAATGGAATAAAATATAAAAGCAATATAATAAAATTGAAAATAAAAAATTACAATGGTATTGAAAATATAACAAATAATTTAAATAAAATAAAAAAAAAACAAAATTTACAATAAATTAAAAAGTTCTATATAATTATTAGGTATACAAAAAAAATATTGACTTCATCATTTTCTTCAAATTCCACCTCCATCTCTTTGACCCTAATCATCATTTGCTTCAAATGAAACATCAAGTGAAGTGTCATGCCCTCCTCCTTTATACTGTAGTCTATCCTCAACATCCAACCAATCTTTTAAGCACATGCACATATATGGGCTTTCATCATTCATGCAACTTCTCTTGTTGTCTAACACCCTAGTACCAGCACTAAAACAATATTCCGATGGAAATGTAAACACCGGAGGTGTTAGCAGATTACATGCCATGGTAGCAAGAACTGGATAATTTTTTCAATGTTCACTCCACCCAAGTTAAAATATCAAAATTATTTAATTCCTCCAAGTCGAAAGAATCATTTAAATTAGAAAAATTAGCTTGTAAATAAAAATTAAGTTCAGTAAATGAACTTGATGATGAAGTGGCAATAGATTTCTATCTCCTAGTTACTAAAGACTGATTTTTTTTTCTATTTCTTTACTAGAATTAGATGTTTCAGAAGTGGAAGTTGTAGTTGTTGTACCCGTACAAGTTTTCCTATACCCTAATAATTGAGATTTATATAAATTGTGCATTTCAAATAATAAATTATTAACTTTTTTTTATTTCCAATTGGAGTCTTCATATTTTCATAATTAAATTCAAGTAAAACACCTACACCATCTTTCCTAATCCTATGATCTAATATTGTAGGTATAGGGGATAAATATTTTCCCAATGTTTTTTTAAATTTAAATCCCATTATTTCAATAATACTTTTAAATTTTGAATTACTTCTATATTTTGCAAAATACTTACTAATCATAAATACATGATTAACTAAAATACAACTAGTTGGGTAATAAATACCTAAAAATTCATTAGTTGTATTATAAAAAAATTTGTAAAATATCTTTTATACAAATTGCCATTTCCATGTCATCTTCATTTATAAAGTCATGTGGCTTTTTTTCATTATAAAAATTAATAAGAATATCTTTGTATGGAATACACCTTTGCAACATAGAATAGTTGAAATTCCATCTATGTTGAACATATAATACAAATTTTTTATATTTTAAACCATATTTTTGGCATAAATATTTAAATTATTGTTTATTGTTCTAGAATTTATTATATATATATATATAATACAATTTCTAATGTTGAAAATATTACAAAAAATAATATTTAAAGTATCTTGAACACATAAATTTAAGATGTGACATGCACATCTAATATGAAATATTCCACCATTTAAACATGATTTTAATTGAGATTCTAAAATATTTTTTGTTAGATTATTATTAGTGGCATTATAAAAAATAATAGAAAAAAGTTTATTTTCAATTCAATATATATGTAAACTATTTAAAATACTTGCAACAATTGTTGGCCAATATGTGGTCATTCAAGCTTAGTAAAACTTAAAATTCTTTTTTGTGAAAGACAATTTTCATCAATAAAATGTCAAGTAACACAAATATAAC